TTGTAGTATACAATAAACACTCTGCCTCTTACATTTTTCACTTCACAAGAGGTCTGGAAGGTTTTTACATATCAGAATATAAAGAACTTTTTATGGCTGTATAATATTCCATAATTGATTTAAACAGTTTTCTAGTGAGGAGCTTTAGCTTTAACCAGAATGATGAAATGATTAATTATATACACAACCATTTCACATATGTTCTTGTAGGGCTCTTCTACAAGAAGAACTGTCGGGTTACATGCATCTAAAATTTTAATAAATAGTGCTAATGTGCTCTCTATAAAAATTATATTAATTCATACAACTCCCACCAACAATAAGAAAGCACCTGCTTAATCATATTGTCACCTGTGGAGTGTAATCATTACTTTTAAAACTGTGATGATTTAACTGGTGAAAACTGTAGCTTATTACAGTTTGAATTTGTACTCTTCCTCCTCTGAGTGAGGTGAAGCAGCTTCTCAAGTTTAGGGATATTTATATCACTGTGCTTGAAATAGCTGCACATATTCTGGACCAAATTTTCTAATTACTTTTGGTTGATGTAGAAACACTACCACAAATTAAGGAAATTAGTCCTTTGTGATGAGTTATGGATATACTTCCAATTTATCATTTGTCTTCTGATTTTAAATTTTATGGTCACACACTTTTTACCTCTATCTGTTGAAATAATTGATCTTCTTTGTGACTTTCATACTTCAGAGCTTTTGTCCATGAGTATGTTCCTCTCTCCAAAAGTTTTTAACCAAAAGCAGATGCTGGATATACAGTGACTTTTTAGACACCTATGGAGGTAATCACATGCTTTTCCCACTAATACGGAAAATTACTTGAACAATTTTAGGATTCCTAGAATAAGCCCTCCTTGGTAATGGATATCACTCTAAGAATCCTTCTGAATTCTCTGAAGCTATTTTATACTCTTTGTTGAGGTTTGCTACCAATGTCATAGCATCATAAAAATAATTTTAAAGCTTTTGTTCTTTCAAACACTTTGAATAGAATGGAAAGTTTCATTTCTTAGAAGTTTAATATAATTGTCTCATGAAAATATTTCAATTTTCTCTATTATGATTGGCGAGTCTTGTCTTCTGAGGCCACGTTTGATAACTGTGGTTCCCTATAAAGTTATCTATCCCATTCATATTAAACATTTTTGTAGAGTTGCCAATATTATACCTTAGAACTTTTTAAATCAGCTCCCTTTGATTTGGTTATTTTCTCAGCAATATTTTTTACATTCTGATTTATGCTTTCTTCTCTTTGTATAAAATTACCTAAAAGCTTATCATTCTCCTCCCACCCTCCACAAGATCAAGTTCCCAGATTACTTTATTAGTGCTGGCATTTTTTTTTTTTTGCTTGTTTTCTAATTCACTTATTTCTGCTTTTATCTTTATTAGTTATTTGTTATGCTTCCCTTGGATTTATCTCCTGTGATTAGATTACTCTTTCAGCTGGTTCCTCAAGTCACTCACTTTCATTCTGTTTACTAATAAGTATATATTTTATTCGTTCATTCAATTTATTTGCACTTGTGGGATTGAACCTAGGGACACTTTATGCTCAATCACTGAGCAACACCCCCAGCTCTATATATTTTTTATTTTTGAGACAGATTACCTTGAATTTGTGATCCTCTTGCCTTAGTCTCCTAAGTAGCTGGGATTATAGGCATGTGTCCCTGTGCCCAGCAATATATACCTTTTAGACAATAAATCTTTGCTTAAATGTGGTTTTAACTGTGTCTAAGGCTGAATTGTACAGTTACAAACCCAAGCACTGGAGCTAGACTACTGGATAAAAATCCTATTTATTTCACTTATTAGTGGTGAGATTAGGAAGCAAGTCATTATGTCTTGCTGTTGTCCTGTGTTCTTATCTACAAAACACGGACAACAGTTTCTTTAGTGAAAAGTAATCAGAAGGGTTAAACAGATCGATACCTAGCTAGAACAATGTCTGACACAAACAGCTTAAAAATATTCTTGAAGCAATTACATAATTGAAATGTTCAAATCATATTTAAAGTATACTTTGTTTTTATTGCTTCTTTGATTTTTAAAAGCTTGTCATCAGGTGAACTGAAAATTTTGAAGTGTTTTGTTTGGTAATTCACAACTTTATAGATAATACTTAATCTTTAAAAAAAATTTTTTTTTGGTACCAGGGATCAAATATGGGACCTTGTGCTTGCAAAGCAGGTGGCAGAACCACTGAGCTAAATCCCTGGCCCAACTTAACCTATTTTAAACATACATACAACTACTAACTATACTGTAATGACAAATTTAGGGTGCAATTTTTTTTGTGTGTATAGTGGTATTGGGGATTGAACCCAAGGCTTTCATATTGAGCTACATCCTCAGTCCTTTTTTATTTTGAGACAAGGTCTAAGTCAATAAACTGGCTGGGCTCAAACTTGTGATCTTCTTGCCTTAGCCTCCCAGAGTGCTGGGATTATAGGAGTGCACCACCACACCTGGCTACTATATTTCTATTCTTTCTTCACATTTTTCATTCCTCTGCCTGCTTTTAGTTTATTATACTTTCCTGAGTTTGCTTTCATAATTAGCATTGTATCTTTTTATTTTTCAGCTTTAAGCTATACGTTTTGACCACTAATTTATAAAAGATATGGAAATCACTGTGAATCACCTACAATATTTCTTCCTCATTTCTGCCAAATGTTTTTGATAACAATATTAGGTCTTTTATATATTATCCCTGTTTTCTGATATATCTCTATATCACTATCTCACTAATTATATATATGTGTGTATGTGTGTGTGTGTGTGTGTGTGTGTGTGTGTGTGTGTGTGTGTGTATTTGTTTGAGCCAAGCTTTTGTTATATACTCCAGGCTGGCCTCAAACTTGCAACCCTCCTGCCTCAGCCTCTCAAATGATGGGACTACAGGCATGTGACTTGATGCTTGGCCTGTTCTCCAATATTTTTAAGCCTATTCTCTACAATTAAAGGGGCTCCATTTGTTCCCATAACCATTGGTTCAACACTGCAAGAACCACAGGAGCTCCATTCCTGAGTTCTCATAAAAATATGTGTCTATTATCTTTAAATGATAATTTGTCTGAATGTAAAATTAGAGATCAATGAGTTCCATTTCCCCATCTAGGTCTAGATACCCATTCTTCCTTTAGAACTGAATACAGGTTGAACATTCCTCACCTGAAAATCTAAAATCAGAAAAGGTTTTGAGTAGAAGTTCAAATTTTAGAGCATATCATAGTCTGGATTTTGGGATTACAGACACTCAACTGGTAAAGTCTAAGCAAATTTTTTAAAACACTGAAATCTGAAAAACTTCTGATTCTCAGCATTTTAGAAAAGGGATATTCAACTTCAGTCTTCTACAAAAGTGTGGTGCTGGCTTGATTCTCCTTTTGCCTTTCTTAATCTCTGAAATCCATTCAATAGGTCTTTATCTTGATTATTATTTTTTCCCCCATTACTGGGGATCAATCTCAGGACCTTGCTTGTCAGGCAGGTGCTGTGCCAACGAGTTACATCCCTGGCCCTTTATCTTGATTATTGTGCTCCAATTCTTTAAAAGCTGGAAAATAGTATTTTTTCAATTTGTTGATTGAAGTTTTTGGTATCTGTTAAGAGTTCTTAAATTTTATCAGAGATGTTATTTTAATTGCACAATATTCAATTTTTGTAATGTTGTCTCACCACATTATCTATACACACACACACACACACACATATATGAACATACAGAATAATATAATTTTTTAAAGACCAAAGTTTAAAATTAGCTTTTTGTACCCAAAATGGATCTTGTGAACTGGTTCAGCAAGTTAATATCTACAGTTTTTAAATTTGTATTTTAACTCAGAAATTTTGTAGTAAAAAGGGAAAGTGGTAGAAACCAGCAATGGAAAGTGGTCTGGACAGCAGCACAGCAGTCAGGCCTCGGCATCCACAGAGGACTGGATCCGGAACCCACCGTGGGTGCCAAACTGCTAGCCCCTGTAGATAACTGTGGAACCCCTACATAGAGCCCAGATACAGCCTCCTGCCTGCCTTCCATTCTTTCTGCCCTCCCTTCTCCGTCCCTCCCTCTTTCTTTCCTTCTTTCTTTCCCTCCCTGGTAATTGTATAACTGCTTTCCCTCCCTCTTCCTTCCCCCCGAGTTGTGTCCCGAGTATTGGACAAAAAAATGTTTTTTACTAATGCCTATTAATTTTATAAAATATTAAATTGTATCTTTTTTTCATCTTCTTTAGGGAAAGTAGTTATATAAATACCAGACTTTCTTTTCTTTTCCTTTCTTTTTTTTTTTTTAGTTCTGGGGTTGAACCCAGGGCTTGCACATGCTAAGCAAGAATTCTACAACTAAGCTACATCCACGGACCTTTGTTCAATCTCCATTTTGAGATACATTTTCCAGGCTGGCCTCAAACGTCATCCTCCTGCCACCGCTTCCCCAGTAGCACCTGGCTCAGATACCAGATTTTGTTTGTCTAATGTTTTCTACATGCATTATTGTCTCTTTGATTCTTTAAAATTATTCCTTGTCATTCCTTTTTTTTTTGTACTGGGGATCAAACTTGGGACCTTGTGTTTGCAAGGCAGGTGGAGGAACCGCTGAGCTAAATCCCCGGCCCTGTCCTTCCATTTTTCATTCTCGTTTCAGTTCTACTTTCTGTCTCTCCCTATGTTTCAGAATCTCTCTTTTTGTGCCACTTCCAAGAATGTCTTTGTTGCTAAAATAGTTTTGTCTTTTCTTTTTTGAGCTTTACTGCATTTTATCCTGCTGTTGACTTACCATAAATTCCCTGAGCTCTTTGCTCCAAGCTCTTGGTTTTTAAGCAGTAATTACAATATTATACACACATATGCACATTTATTTGCAGTTCTGTGGCTTGAATCCAGGGCCTGATGCATGCTACACCCCTACTCCCCTTTTATTGAGACAGGGTCTCACTAACATATATTTTTAATATATGTCTCATTTGGTGACAATTTCTATGTTTTTCTGAAGAAACCTTTTTTTTCTTGTTAGTTCACAAACCATTTGGAATTGTAATTAAAATCTAACAACTCTTTCTGGTTTTACCTTTGTTTAATTCTTTGCAGTTTTGTTTTTTGATACTTATTCATTCCGGAATGAAGTGAGTACTTCTAACAGTAGCAATTTACAGCAGACTTCTATGGGAAAGGGACAAAGACCATGTTTTGAGGAAGCAGAAATTCTGTATGATACAAAGGTGTGTGTGTGTGTGTGTGTGTGTGTGTGTGTGTGTGTGTGTGCGCGTGCGTGAGTTATTTTAGCTTTAATTTCTGTTAACTGGAAGAGAGCAATAGTTAAGGTCTACCCAGCCTAAATCATAGACTGCTTCCTACAAATACTGTTTCCAGTCCCCATTAGCTTGCGTCTTCTTTAGGCCATACTAGCCCTCGAATCAGACTGCACACCCGCTCACTGGTCCAGACAAAGGGTTGTTGGTTTTGATCCTGAGGATGTTCCACTTCCTCTGCCAACGGTTCTACCAGCTTTGTCTCAGATCTGCACTGCGTGAAGCATCCTAAGTGTCTACCCTGTCTAGTTTACCTTTGCTGTATTGGTAGCGCCTCCTCACACATTATAATTTGTGGTTTCAGATATCTTCTAGATTTGTCAAAGTTGGAGTTTCCTATCTGCTTCTGTTTTTCCTAACTGCCACTGGGGGATTCCTAAGAGAAGAGAGAAAACACTGATTTTTCTCTATAGCGAACACTGGAATTCCTACCCAGTTAATTACTTTAACTCTAAAACTATGTAAAAATAACAACTTTTGTTGAGTTTTATACTGTATAAAGTATAGCATCACTTATCAACATACTTTAAATGTAAAAAGAGTAAATCATAGAAGCGCTCTTCATTTGGAATGACTGGGATCCACAACTGGCTGCATAGGTGAAAAAAAAATCAGTTAAAGTGGGTATGCAGAAGTGGGTTTTGTCAACTTGGTTAAGCTAGGAAACAGACGTCTAAGAATCTCTTGCCCTGTGTGGTTCTGGATTACAGTAGGCAGAGGGGGAAGACGGTGCACAATCTGGGAAGCAAGAGGTGAGGAAGCAGCCTTGGAATGTGGCTGAAGTCAGAAGGGTCCACTGCCTCCCTCGTTCACCTCTGTTCCAATCTAGGCTTTCTTCCTGCCTGCAGGCCAAAAAGGAATCCAAGCTCAAATCCAGATGCTGGCTATGGAGCCAGCAGTCAGTACCTGGGAGACAGCTTCCCGCACACCTCCCTGTGAGGTGAAGTCCTTTCATCAGCAGGCAGTGCTCTCAGCTCCTACAAGCTCTTCCCTGTCCACTCACACCAATGTCCAGAATAACTGCTTAAAGACCCTAGGACCCTTGCTGGGTGTTGTGGTGCACGCCTGTAATCCCAGCTCTTGGGAGGCTGAGGCAGGAGGATCACCATGAGTTCGAGGCCAGCCTGAACTACATAGTGAGACCCTGTCTCAAAAAAACAAAAACAAAAAACACCTAACTAAATAAAGACTCTAGGATACTTGCCTCCCCCTTTAGACCTTCATTTTCCTAATTCCTCACTTTTTAAAAAAATATTATATAGGCTGGGGATTTAGCTCAGTGGTTCCAGCGGCTGCTTTGCAAGAGCAAGGACCTGAGTTCGATCCCCAGTACCCCCCCAAAAAAATTATATACGTGGGCAGAGGAATTTTAAAAACATTTATTAGAAAAGAAGGTTCCTATTTCAATAAGTTTACATCTACTTGTTAAGAATTGGTACTGACAAAGAATTTTTTTTTTTTTTTTGGTGCTGTGATCAAACTTGGGACCTTGCACTTGTGAGGCAGATGGCAGAACCACTGAGCTAAATCCCCAGCCCAAGAAAATTTTTATAACAGTAATAACAAGTCATGGAACAACAGTGACAGTATAACTCTGTATTTATATAGATACTTAAAACAACTTCTGGAAATGTTACCTATCTTTTTTACAATGCTTCTGTATGATAGAGGTGCTTTTTACTGCCAGGTAACATGGGAAAAGGCAAACTCAGACAGCTCCAAGAACACAAAAGCACATGGATAAAGTAGGAATAACAATCTCAGTGCCTGGTATTCTGCCTATCAATCTTAGCTTGGTCTCTTTGGCCACTTCTAAATGAGTCAGTGCCATTTGGCAGAGACAGAAAGATCAAGGAGACAAATTTCAGCTGTAATCTTAAGAGTATTTTAATATAATATTGTACTTTCTCTGGTTTTCTATAATTTGAGCCAGACTACCATTTAGACAGACTGGAACAAAAGGAAATTGCTGATGCCCTACTTTTGCTGGTGCTGTAAATAATGCAAGATGGCAGACTGATTTTTCACTTGTCACAAAAACATGCTTCCCTAGTTACTGCAGTAAGCAGACTATGCCAGCAGTTTATTCTGTAGGCATATCCTCAACTAGCTTCTGAGTGATCTTTGAACAAATGTGTACATTATGCACCCTTAATCATCACTTAACATATGTATACAAGAGGGTAAGAAATACAGTCATGGTCCCTGGGACATTCTGGGCTTAAGTCTTCTTGTTTGAGTTATTTTAGTATATAAACATAAACACTTCCTACTTGGGTGAAACTCTCTCACCAGACCTAGAAGAAATGAATTGCCAATGATCCCACCCTCAGCACTAATCAGTCCCTCTGTAGTTATACTTTTTGAACTTTCTTATGTTTTGATTGAATAGCACTTTCAGATTGATCATCATCTGTTCTATGTGTTAACTTTCCCTTGAACTGCAGATACCCTGACAGGCAGAGAATTTCTATCTCTTTTCTCATTCATTTCATAAAATGTGGGGAGGCTGGCAGAGACACAAGAGTAATGTTTTTGGGGAGGCTGGGGTAGGAGGATTCTAAGTTCAGGGCCAGACTGGGCAACTTTGTGAGACCTTGTCTCAAAAAAGAAAAGTATTGGGGATGTAGCTCAATGGTAGAGTGTTTGCCTACCACCCTTGGGGCCCTGGGTTCAATCTCCAGAACTTGGGGAAAAAAATTCACCCTAATTTCAGCCCTCGGAGGCAACTGCATTCAACATTTTGTCATGTTTCCCTCTAGTTGTTACTTTCCTCCCAATTCCTTTTGTGTGCATTTCTCCTCACATAATTAAGATCAGTTTTCATATTTACTTCTAAACTTCATTCACATAAAACCATACTGAAAAGTTTCATGTTATTAAACTTTTTTAGCAGACAGTACTGCCCTCAGCTGATAACGGTTCCCTTTCCCTGGACCGTGTCTCACGGCAGCTCTGCTCTGGCCATACAGAGATGAGGGGTTCATTCTTCCAGGTGATTCTAAAGATCTCAGCTTCTGAAATACCATGGTCAGAAGCCCTTGTTTACACCCCTTCTCCAGAACTGTCCTTAAGGGCAGACTGCAAAGTGCTGCGTGCACCCCAGGACCAAAGGGAGCAAAAGGTACCGACGGACCTTGGAGTGAGAGCTGGGTCCCCACCAGCATGTGCAACCCCTTAGTGCTGGGCTACATCAGAGCTGGGGAGAGTGAGGGGCTGCCTCTCCCCAGCCACCGCATTCCAGCCTGGCATTCCAGGGAGCCTGGGGATTCTAAATTGAAACCTGGCCTTGAAGGCCAAGAAGAAGTTGTATTTGTCAAAGTAGGAGGAGGAAGCATAACTTTTGAATATTCAGATGTATGTCCTTTTGCTCCGACCCCCCCAAATTTTAGGGGGCTGGGAACGGATGTTTATCTTTGTGATAAACATGATCATTCCTTTAATGTTGAACATTTGAATGCTTCTTAAATTTTTATTTAAGATGATATATGTTGGACATCTGTATATAATATTTACCTTCACTGCTGATTATTTCTCTCTTTGGTTTTCTGAGACAGGGTTTCACAATGTAGTTCACACTGGCCTTGAACTCACAGTGATCTTCCTGCCTCAACTTTCCAAGTTGCATGCCCAGCTGTCAGTGGGATCTTCCTAATCTTCTTACACCATCTCCTATTACCTCTGAGAGTCTAAGAATGGATTATGTAAAGAGTAAGTGTCATAAAGAAACGGTGTCAGAGTAGACACATCACCATAGCAACTCAGAGTTGCAGCCACAATAATCAGGTAGCCTTGGTGAAAAAAAGCACTGATGGCAGACCCAGGAAGAACAGGCAAACAGGCAAGACAAATATCTCCCATGTTCCAAGTAATCCTTCTCACATAAATTCCCCTATTTGTTTCTGATTTAGCTAGTCAAGGAAAAGAATTTTGAACTTTTTGACACCAGAATAAGCAAGAGATTGTTAAATGGTCATTTTGTTTACTTAAAAAATTAAAATTCAGGGCCGAAGATATAGCCCAGTGGTAGAATACATGCTTTGTATTTGTAAGTACTCCAGCTAGATCCCCACCATTGAAAAAAATTTTTTTTCTGGGTATGGGGGATTGAACTCAGGGGCTCGTGCTTGGCAGGTAGGCACTGTACTGCTGAGCTACAACCCCAGCCCTTAAATTTACATTTAGGAGAAAAAGGTCTATATGTGCACAGTGGGGATAAAGAAACCAATGAATCCATCAGAATTGGTTTACTCTCAATAAAGATGGAGAAATAACAGTGCAATCCGGCTTTGAGAGAGGATATAAACCTAAGCCAATTCAGAAGATTCTAAGAAATGTTGTTTAGATCTAAGTTTGGAAGGAGGTTTTTATGACTTTCAATGGAAAGACAAAAAGGGAGAGAGAGTATTTACAACCCTGATACTGTCTTGATTTTTGTGGGCATGATTAGTCAAATATGATATTACATTAGAAAATCTAAACCAAAGCCAAAGGCCCTGAAGGCTCTGCTGCTTTGGGATCATCATTAGTATGATGATTCTACATCACAAATGTACAAGATAGAAGAGTCTTGAACAAGATAGAAAGTCTGCACCTTCTTCTGCCTTTTTTTTTCTTTCTCCTTTTTTTTGGTGGTACTAGGGACTGAGCTCAGGACCTTGTGCTTGCAAGGCAGGTGCGGTGCCACTGAACTAAATTCCCGGCCCGTCTTTTGCCTCTTACTAACTAGGCAGCTTTGTGTAAATTTCCTCACCTCTCAGAGCCTCATCCTTTACAAAACAATGATGATATCACTTGCCTTGCTGAGAAACCTAGGATTAAAGTGAGTGACCTTAGCTCAAAACAGTTACTGTCACTTAGTACTGAATAACTTTTTTTCTTTTGCAGCCCAGAGGCTCAGACTCAGGACCTGACACACATCATTCAAATGCTCCACCGCTAAGCTACAACCCCAGCCCCCCACAGTATAGGGTATATGTTAAAGCCCCTAGAAGTGAACTTTCAAGAGTTGGTGGAGCAGACAGCTGCCCCCTGGGTTGATTTGGTTATCATTTTCTTGGCTCCTATTTTTATTTCACAGTCACTAAACTACTACCAGAGATGATTTCCTTGGCTGCTGGAGTCCTCTTTGCCACTAAGAGTAGTCAGCAAAAATGCATTCTCCTCTACAGCCTTGATACCTTAGCATGTGCTAAGTGAACCCTTTCTGGGGACTGGTTGGTATGTAGCAGGGCACAGTATCTCCAAAATAAAGTTCCCGTGCTAAGCATGTGGTGGATGGGTGTCACTTTAGGCACAATTTATCTTTCTTTAGAAGATTATCTTCAATGGCTCATTCATGAAAAAATGCTCATTTGAGAAGTATACCTATCTGCAAAGAGCAAGCCAGATCAGCAGAGCCCCGCCAAATGAAAACCACTGGAAGAATGACTCCAAACTACTCAGAAAAATGAAACCTCAATCAACTACTAACTATTTTTATTATCTGACTCTATTATAAAAATACAGTACTGCTCTCAGGCTATCTCCAGAACATCTGCCAAGGATTTTATACCTTTGTTTATTTTGCTCTTGGAAAAGAAGTCAAAGATAACTAATTCTTACACTGACAATTGGCTTCTTTTAGTGTCTGGACTCAAATGTCCTGTCTACCTAATCCTCCAGAAAATCAATTATTGTCTTTCCATCCCTCACCAAGTGTTAAGAGTAGCTTATCTCAACTTCTTCACCCCCTATCATTCCCTCATTCCTAAGAAACATTAATTCTCTACAGATATATTTTTCAAAGTTTCATAATACAGGCTTCCTACTCACTAAATCCAAAGGTCTTATGATCAGCATCATTTTGTGTGTGTGTGTGTGTGTGTGTGTGTGAGTGTGTGTGCCAGGGATCGAACTTGGGACCTTGTGCTTGCAAAGAAGCAGGTGGTAGAACCACTGAGCTAAATCCCCAGCCCTGATCAGCATCATTCTTACAACAGTAGGTCTCCAAAGAGATGTGGACCGTGCAACTCAAGGCTTAGGGGCAGGAAGGAAAACAACTGATCTCATTCATTTTGCTCATTTCAACCTTAAAATTTTTATTTTGTACATTTTTACCATATGTATATATGTATATGCACACACATATATGAAATAATACATCGATACCATTTGGGGAATGGTTACTGAAACTATTAGAACATGAAATTAATAAAACCGTGTGACCCAGTTTTTCACATAGCAGCAGTTCTCAAAGTAGTTCAGGGGTCTGTGGGGGTATCCCAGGTCCTTTCAGGGTGTCTGCAGCTCAAATGTTTGCATAACAATGACAAGGAACTTATCTTTTGTATTTATTCTCTCATAATTATATGGTGAAATTTTCCAGAAATAGGTGATGACAAGTGATATTGTAACATATTTAATACAGAAGCAGAGATGAGAATCTAGTTATTTTCTGTAAAGACTTATTATACACAGTACCTTGGTTTACAAACAATTCTTTCCACAATTCTGTGAATAAAGTTTGAGAACCAAGATATGTATCTGTGTGCATGTGTGGATACACATATATAATTTAATCTGCTAAAATCCATGTAACCGATTGCATTAATAAAAATATGAAAATGTGTTAACATCTAATTAACAATAATAATAATTTTCTTTTGTACCAAGGATCGAACTCAGGTCCTTGCATGTGCAAGGCAGGTGGTGGCACCACTGAGCTAAATCCCCAGCCCGAATAATAAAAAAAAAATTTTTTTGTACTGGGGATCGAACTTGGGACCTTGTGTTTGTGAAACAGGCAACAGAATCATTAAGCTAAAACCCTGGCCCAATAGTTATTTTTAAATGAAATACAGTAAATGTTTTACATTTTAATTTTCAATATTAAATGGTAAATATCAAGAGGTATCCAGTGGTGTGTTGGGGTTAGAATGCAAGAAAAACTATTTATAGTGTGAAACAGTCCATGAGGGGAATTTACATCATAGAAACTGAGAAACATCATAAATCGGGGCATTGGTTTTGGGTAATCTTTAATAATGAAAAGGGGTCTTAAGCCAAAAAACTGAGTATCTTTGCTGTACAGAATTTAGCTCTGTTAATTACTACATGCTTGGTTCTCCATCCCTCACCTACTTCTCTATCCAACTCTGCCAACCTCTGACTTGGTTACTAGGGCACGACAGAACATCCTTTCATGCAAGCTGTGAGAGAAATATAGAGAGAATGTTGAAAATTTTAAAATTATTACAGCAAAAGACACGTCGCCAGGAATCCCCCTCAAAATACTTCCGCTCACTGTCAACACAGTTATCGCATTCTTCTTGCCACTTTCTGAAGCAGTTCCAGAAGTCCTCTTTCTTGAGTCTGTATGAGGTGTGATTAAAAAAATACATTGAATACTGCTATCAAGTGCCATCCAACAGAAAGAAAGGCTCACACAAACATTACAGTAGGGGCTGGGGATATAGCTCAGTGGTGCCACACCTGCCTGGCAAGGGCAAGGCCCTGAATTTGATCCTTGGTGTGTGGGGGGGTGTGGCACAAACATTACACCATATGCTCATCTACCTTGTTCACTGGAACTAGTACCATGCAACTTCTGGCTCTTCTCCAAAGTCAAAATGACTACAAGAGGTAAATAAATGCTTTGACGCAATTTAGGACATTGAGCTAGCTATTACAGGACAACTAAAGGTAGTCATTGCTCCCAAGTCTAACCAGACGGCTAGGCCTATATATTCCATCTCTAAACTGCACTTGTAAATCTTCTGTCCACTTCCAACCTAGTTTAACCCTTCTTGTATCACTGCTGGATGATGAAATCACCTTACTAAGCGATGTCCAGAGCTTAGGATCTCAGTTGGTAAACTAACATCTTTTCATGCTCCCATGACTTCTAATGCCACCTGCTGGCAGGTAAGTCAGTCTTTACAACATCTGGGAAGTTCAAAGTAACTTGTGATACTAGGATATCGTGTGGTCATTCACTCTGTGTCTAGGTATAGGTACAGGGCTGCATCCAGCACATAAAACTGACCTCAGGATGAACAGAAGTTACAAAGCTTTGTTCCACACAAGAGAGCTGGGGTATAGCTCAGGAATTTGTACAAAGGCTAACGATGCAAAGAACCTGAGTCTGTTTTTAGGCCAACAGCACAGATACTGAACTACATGCCACATGCCATACTTAAAATAATCTTAACCATAAAGGACAGAATGGAGCTAACAAAAGAGCTGAATAAAGGAGGGGGGAAAAGTTGCATGTAGAGGAACTGAGAGGGAAGGAGAAGGTAGAGGGAAAGGAGTGCACATAACTTCTGCTCTAGACCAGGACGCTGTGTGCATCCCACCCCCACTGTGACCTGTGTTCTGGCTTCTATCTGAAGATGGGCAATAGAAGCCCCGGAGAAAGATTACAAGGAAGCAGGGAATGAAGTCAGGGTATTTTCCTACCAGACAGATCTGGCACAGTGGCCTGAGTCCTCTACCAAAGGTCACAACTCCTACCTGCAGCCCTGTCCTCAGAGACTTCTGCTGTTCTGGGTTTTGGAAATGTCTCTCTCCCTTACCACTCAGGCCTCGAGACGGTGAGCACACTGCTGCCAGTCTTGAGGACTCACACTATCTTCCTCTGCTTTATGAAATCTCTCTCAAATCATCCCAATTTGGATATATCATGTATTTCCTGGTAGGACCCTGACTGCTA